CCCCCCAACAAATCCTCCCACTCGTGAAAATAACGGTACAAATTTTATTAGCGTAACTGCAAGAATTGTAAATGGCACCAAAACAAACAAAAAAAAACCAACAACAAAACAAAACAAAAAAAAAAACACCCCAAAACCCAAAAAAGCTGAGTTATAAGTTTACAAGGGAGAAATACATCAAATAACTGTCGACCCAGCAGAGCACCCCCCTGCCCGGGCTGGTGTGAACCCCTTCCCCAGGGGGCTCCGTGCACAGCCCAGGCCTTTACGGACAACCCCCCCACCCAGGAGCTGCCCCCCTTCCCAGCTGCTCACACAGCCCGTGCCACCCCAGAACTGCATCTGAATTCCACCAGCAACAGGCATTATTGGGCATCCACAGCCCCCACCAGGCACTATTGGGCAGGGCAGCATCCAAGTCAGAAACCAGACAAACCCAGGGCACGAGGAGGTCAGTGTGTGATGATCTGTTCAGCACTAGGGCAGACGAGCCCCCCTCCCTGGGTGCTATGCACCCCCAGCACCCTGCACCCAGGGTCTTCCACACGTGCCACAAGCCTCAACTAGCAGTGAGGTAGGTTAAGGACTCCACAGACAGGGAAACTGAGGCACATGATTACACAGTTTTGCAGGCACTATACGAGTGGTAGTGCCAGAAACCTCTTCTCACCCCTCTCCAGCACCCCCAACACAACAGCTTTTCATCCTCTTAGCGGGGCCAAATGAAGCTGACCTTTCCAGCAGCTTTAGAAATGTCCATTTTAAGTCCAATTTAAAATATGAAAAGACAAACCCCAGGGGTTTCCCACCTCACAAACCCTCCAAGAGCCCAGCTGATGCAGCCTCAGCCCTCCTGCTCCCACAGCTCCCGTCTCATAACCACAAACTGCAGCTCCCTTGGACAGGAAACCGGTGACAGTTTCAATGACCCAAGCAGAACAGCAACCAGCAGATTCCAGACTGAAGTGGGGCTGGCTTCTGACACGATTGCCTCCAAGCCCCTAAGGCACCTGCCAAGCTGAAAAGCACAGCCCAGAGTGGGGGGATTTGCTGTAGCACTGGAGAAGCCATCCCAAGCAGTGCTGTTTCAATGCAGCATTTCACCTTTCATAGCACCCTCCAGACCTAAAAGTGCTTTAGCAAACATGAACTAAGCCTCATCATAACCTCACAAATCCAGGCTAAACTGCCCCCATTTTACAGATGGGGAAACTGAGGCACAGTAAGGTTTAGCAACTGGCCCAAAGCTACACAGCTAGTCAGGAACAGAGTCAGTCTCTCCCAGTTTCTTCTCCTTAAGTCACAGGTGAAAAGAACTCCCCTCTTCCCCAACTAGCCCAGCTCTGGTTTTGGGTGGCTGAAGAGGAGAAGCTGAGGGTGAAGCTCTCAGCTTTCCCACCTTGCAGCCCTAAGACTCATATTAAGACTCACTGTAACACGCTGGAAGCTGGCTTGGGGAGGATGGCAGGTGATTCAAATACAGCAGTTTACAGGTTACCATAAAACCAAAAAAACCACACTTTTGGGTGACCCAAAGAGGGGGAGGGAGGGGGGGAAGCTATTCACAGTTCACCTGCCTGTGTTAGGAAAAATAAAACCCCAAACCAAAGTCACATTCCCTTCCCCAGATTCCAGCCCTTCCCAACCCACAATAAAAAGAAAATATTCCATGTTAGTTAGGCTTAACAAAGCATTGAGGTTACAGATGCAGTAGACCAGCACAACTGGCATACTGCCTAGATCAGCACAGCTTGATATAAAAGTTGCTTCCTTAAAATCACTTCAAAACCAATTTCTGTATAAGAAGATTAAAAGTAAATTACGTATGAATTCAAAATCAGTGTAGAAATCTACAGTTCTTATCAAAGACAGGATACAGTATTCACTTTGATAGGAAAACTCCAAGTGTGCCACACACACCTGACTCAAGGGACTTGTTATACCAGTAACAGTCAATATAAAAGGTTATTGCTCTAGCATCTCTCAGTAGAACATGTTTAACAAGAGCACAGAAAATGGAAATACCAAGGGCTGACAGGTCTCATTAGCAAAGAGAGGAAGAAGAAAGGATATAAACTTTGGATTTTTTTTTTTTTTTTTCTGGCTTCTTAAACCTTTCCACTTCTCCCCACTCTCCTGACAGTTTCAGGCCCTGATAGATGGGAGAGTTTCAGGCCAGATGAACACACACACGTCACATTCGCTCATGACACGGGTGGATGAAGAAGCCTGTGCTCTAACCTCTCTGCACCTGCTTTTGAAGAAGGGACAATGTCTCTTCCTCCCTCCCAGGAGCAGCAGGCAAGGGGAGCAGATGCCCTGAGCAGGTGCTGATGGAGGTGCCTGGCACAGGATGTCACCCACAGGAGCACACATCAGTGCTGAGGGATGGTCAGGGCTTACTCCATTCTCCTGCTCCAGTGCATTGAGAAGAGACAGGGAATAACAAACTAAGGAGAAAAAAAAAAAACAACACTTTGCACAGTAACATACTGATTCCTCTAAAAAAAAAAAAAAAAAAAAAAAAAAAAAAAGGTAAGTGGTATCATCTCCTTACAGTGTAATGGAACTGGAGAGACCCTTGCAGGGTTTTGGCTACCTTGTGTGGATGCTCTGATCTCAAAGTCACACGTGCCATGGGGCTCTGGTGACCAGAGCCAAGGTGGCACTGAGATCACAAGGTGGCACTGAGATCACAGGGTGGCACTGAGATCACAGGTGCCCTTGCCTGCTACTGCTCAGACTGCAGTTGTGCAGACAAAAGCCTGAGAATGAGGTGTCAAAGCAGAGGGCTGTTTTGTCTCCAAGTGTCAGGAATTGCTCAGGGAGCTGACACAGGCTGAAAGTACTGGCAAAAACTCCTTCTGTCAAGAGGGGGCTGGGTAAAGTCTCCCCGTTGGAGCCCTGGAGTGAAGCTCAGCTGTCAGTCACACACACAGACACACACACCGTCATGAGGGGACTTGGCCTCTCTCTACTGAGACACAGCAAGGGCATTTCCAGTTTAATGGTCTGTCTCATCTCTGGATCTACTGCCTCTCCATAGCAGCAGAAAGCAACCCCCCCAACCTCCCACCCCCCTCCCCTGCCTGGTATGGTTTCTAAATCACAGTAATGTTCAGAGAGACAGAACTGCCAAGGGGGCGGCAGAAAGATGCTTAGTGCCCATCGAGGATGCCTCTAACAGAAAAGCTTGAGAAAGCAGTTCTGGCAGTAGGGCTTGTCGTTCTGTTCTTTGAAGGTTCCTTTGTTGAGCTGCTTGAGGCAGAAGGCACAGACAAAGTGTTCGGGGTGAAATTTCTTGCCCATAGCAGTGATGCAGCGTCCTGTGATGGGCTTCTGGCAGCCGGAGCAGAGCGAGCCGCGGCGCTCGTGGTAATGCACCTCGCAGTAGGGCTGCCCATCGTGCTCAAAGAAGCTGCCATTGATGAAGGGTGTGAAACATTCCTGCAGGAGGAGAAAGGAGAAGGGGAGAGGTGGTGTAACAAGCTGGGAATGCAGGCAGCTCCACAAGCCTCCTCTGCTCTGTGGCACAGCTTAGCTGTGCTGTGAGCAGGGTGAACTGCTGCCTTCCAGCATCGTTCTGCTGTGCAAAGAGCCAAACTCTGTCCATCAAGAAGAGCTTCCAAGGAAAGGCTGATAAACAGATACAGCCACAAGCAAGGGAATTAACCATGCTCCACCTGTAGTAGAAAATACTACAGGTGAGCTACTAGATGTGTCCAGCCAGGAGAAAGGAGAGCACTCCTTCCCCTGAGATGGGAAACACTGCAGCACCTTTCCCCATTTTTAATATTTTTACTTTTTAAATCTCACTCCAGCTTCCCCACACAAAGGCAGGCAGCAGCAGACTTTCATGCAGCAGAATTTTGATTAATGTGGACTGGTTCCAGCTGAGAAAATGAGGCACAATTAATCTTTACAAGTGATGTCCCCAGAATGGCCAGCATCATGCAGGCACACGTTGAGCAGGATCATCCATCCTGAAACATCTCCCCCAGGTACACACACAGCACTATGGGGAGAAACTCTGTTCAACCGTGCTAATGGTTTTTGAATAGATGAGAAAAAGAAGATACACCAGCTATGTAAGTTCTTACTAGCACTCAGAGCTCCTCACCCCCTTGTTAGGCAGCTGAGGATGCTACACTTCAGAATCTGCAACAGAAGTCCCCACCATCTCCAGAAGACTGGGGAGACTCCCCTCTTTATATCAGTGGGAAACTGAGGCAGCAGAGTGTGGGGGAGAATTGAGGATACTGCCAGATTTACAGGACAGAGCAGTAGCAAGGCCCAGAGCAGAAGCCAGATTTCCAGAATCTTGGTTTTGCTCAGCCTCAACACCATCCTCTTCCCCACAGGGAGGACACACAGCAGCACATACTGCTGGACCCTAGCTCCTACGCAGGAGTCCAGCAACCAGCACACAATACTGGGACAAATGCAGTTTGCCTGCAGCAAGTCCAAGACTGCTCTAATGCTGACAATTAGCTCAATAATGTCCTCCCTCAGTCAGCAGGACAGCTGAAAAGTCTGCTCTGCTTTAGCAAAAACAGGAAGAGAATCTCATCTCACATCCTGGAAGACATCTGTGCTGGCCCCACTAACACAGGCAGCATGGCAGCAGGGGGAAATCAGAACTGCTTGATCCAAGTCTCAACCTCTGCACAAAAATGCACAGCCCTCCCCAGCCCCACACAATCAGGACTGCCATCTTCTGCCTCCACACTCTGCACACCCCTCTGGGAGCCACAGATAGTTCCAGGCAGGCAATCCCAACAGCCCAGCCTGCTCTGAACATCACACCAGAAATCAGTGGTCTCTGCATTTCTTTCCCACTCCAGGAAACACAGGCTGATTTTGCTCATCTCTTGGGGCTTGTAAGAGTTAATATCTGCAAGGCTCTCTGAAAGAGTGCCAAACATTTAATCTGCAGTATTCCTGTTTATTATGCCTGTTGTATGGAGCCTGCCACCATTTCATTGACTTGCATGTTTGCCTGAACAAGGTCAGTCTCATTAGTTTACATCATCAGATGGAGCATGGGAGGAAGATCCTCAAAATCTGACTGCTGAGGCAAGTGCTTAGAAAGAAGCTCAGCTCATAATTATTTAAAGGTCACAGAAAATGTCTCTGTTTATCTGTGAGCTGCTGCAGAAGCCCATAATTGCAGCTGGAACAGAAAGAGCAAAGCAGCTAGAAAGTTTAATGTAAACAGGCAGAGGAACAAGAAGGTGTTTGGTTGCTGACATGTGTTTAGCTTGTGGGCCTGACTGCCCTTCAGTCCCCACAGACACCTTTTTCTGATAAGGGACCAGACACCTGCAGGGTGGAAATGAGAGGGTTGTCCAGCAGCAGAGAAGGACCTTGGGTTTCTTACCCGACAGACAAAGCACTCAGGGTGCCACAGGGTGTTCAAGGCAGAAATGTAGTTTTCCAGGATAGCCCGGGCACAACCTCCACACTTGGGAGCAAACATGTCAAAGTAGTCCTTGCGGCAATAGGCTTTGCCATCCTTCTCATGAAATCCTGCCAAAGGAGAAGAGAGGCAGAGAGCATCAGCTCCTGATCTTCAACTCTGGCCAGGCAAGCTCTGAGGGGCAACCAGTGTGGGCAGGATCATCCTTCCCCCTGCTAACACCACAGCAGGCAGCTGCTTCTTGTCCTGCTGCCCTTCCTGTCCCATGCACACGCATGCACACCCTTCCTCTCCCAGGAGAACCAGCTGCTAGCATCCCCCCCACCACCATAAACAGCTATATCCCTTGGAATCTCTATCTTCAGTAGTTCCTGTCACCTCTCTGGCTGACCCCTAACAGCAGCTCTGCCTTACACGCTGCTCTGTACTTCAGGGAGGAGATTGCATACACCAGCAGTACCTTCAGGTCCAAAGAAAGCTCCACACTGGGCACAGAAAAAGTGTTCAGGGTGCCATGTCCTGTCCAAAGCTGTCACCACTTTCTGTTCAGAGGAAGACAAAGAGCAAGTCATTTTACTGATGGCTTCAGCTTGGAGGTAAGGGGAGCTTGGTGGGGAAAGAACACGAAGCTGGTACTGACAAGAGTGTGCATTAAAACAGACTGTCCTTTAGAAAGCTCATTCAGCTCTCCCCCGCCTCTGGCTCCTTCAGACTTTTTTACCCTAAAAGGATCTTAGGCACAGCTTCCTGCCTTATACAGGGCCCCCTCCAGCTCTCAGGACTAGCACTGGTGCCTGTTACTCCAGGCTACCAACAGACAAATGCTGAGGAGTCAGGATGGAGCCATGTGATGCTCTGAAGGAACTTCAGGGAAGGTGAGAGGGACCAACTCCTCTCACTAGCAAGAGAATTTGACTCGGCCAAGATGTTTCCCTTGCAGAGCCAGGGCAAAGGAAAAACAGGAGTCCCCAAACAAAATCTTCCACCCAGGACATATGGGTGAAGTGGAGTTTTTAACACCCAGGCCTACAGCACCTTGCCAGCACCCTTAATCCCAACAAGGAACTCACATCAAGGATGGGCCCATTGCAGTAGTAGCAGCGAGGGGAGAAGAGGTTGTGATAGTCCTTCTCACAGTAGGGCTGACCATCCCGCTCAAAGAAGTTCCGCGACCCAATCTCCTCCTGGCAGTGGGTGCAGACGAAGTGCTCAGGGTGCCAGGTTTTCCCCATGGCTGTAACTACCTGTTAGGAAGACAAATTATGGAGGACAATTCTACCTCCCCCTCTCCTAGACCACATGACAAGATACCAGCTGGAGGGCAGCAAGAATGACAAGTTCTACTACTCAAGTGAGCCCTGGACTGGGGTAGCATGAAAACTGAATTACCTATCATCTCAGGAGAGGGCAGTCCCTCAAGGGCAGGGTAGAGGTCACTGGAGGAGCTTACAGCGTACCTAGCCAGTGGATAAATAGAGTACTTCAGTTTCTCCAGCATCTCCAGTCTCTTTAGCCTCACGTAACAGCCCCCCCCATTACTCCCAGCTGCAGCCCAAGATCCAGCAATGAGGCAGCACCTTCAACTCACCTGCCCAGCAATAGGCTTCTTGCAGGCTCCGCAGACACCTTTGGCAACTGTAGCTACACCCAGTTTGTTCAGGTCAGATTGGAGACTTCCCAGCATGGTATCCAGCTGGCTGCCAGGCTTGGAGGCTGTGGATGGAGGGGAGCTGCTCCCAGCTTTCCCTTGTGCCATGAACTGCAGGGAAGAGAAAATAAAAACTGTGAGTGCTGCTGTACTTACAAGGCAAGTGCCTGCTGTTGCTGCCAGTGGTTCCTCTGTAGGGACAGATAGAAGACAGCTAGAAGACAACTACCCTTCACTGCAGAAGCCAGTATCAAGTACACACACGTATTCTGCCCATGCAGAGATCCTGGGATGTACAACAGCAGAGCTGTGAACTGAGGATTTTACTGTTCCTTCACTGTGCACACAGCAGAAGTCCCCAGCAGATCCCAAGCAGTCAGTACAGTGCTCCTTAAGCCTCTGCCAAAAATCTCCCTTTACCTCATCAGCTCCTGGCCAGCTGACAGAGTAGAGACCCTCCAGAGGGCCCCTTCCCCTTGACCTCTCTCTACTTCTATGCTGTTGCTCTGTCTCAGTTGTCACTTTCTCCTCTCTGAGAGATCCGTCTCCTCTTCCTCACCTCACCTCCCTTTCAGCTAGAACATCTCCTTTCCTCTCCCTCCCCTTGCACCATCCTGCACAGATCTTTCTGCAAAATCTCCTTTGTCCCCATCAGGTGGCTCTCACCCCATAGCTGAGCTAAGCAAGTGGAAGCAGGAAGGAAAGAGCTGCCTTCAAGATGCCTGCTGTTTACCTACAGAGAGGGCAGTGCACCCAGAGCACAGCCCTGGCAACAGAAAGACTGCCACATCTGGTGTGGGGCTGCTGGAAATGCTGGGAAGAAAGGGGTTAAGATACTTCTCTCAGGGGCCATTTCTTGCAACTCACACCTCCACAGTACACACAGCTTGGAAAGGCTTCCCAGAGCAGGAGGAGAAATGTTTTACTTAGGTTCATATCTTATAAACAAATTATGTATGTTCTCTTTGGCCACCAAAGTCCCCTTTGCAGGCAAACTGAAATAATGAACTACAGATGATTTGAGCTGACACTGGATTGCAATAGCTACCGTCAGGTCTAGAGAGACCCAAAGAAGTCCCTTCCTGACATACTGGTCTGGAGCATGTTCTCTCTCACTAAGAGGACACATTAAAACAGACTAAAATCTACACTTGAGAACAACCCACCAACCTGCTGCCAGCGCAGCCAGGAGAGCAGGGACACACTGAAGTGCTTCAAAACCTTGGCAGAAGCTGTCCTTCCAGTTACAGAAGGAGCTCTATCCCCTGTCCTGCAGCTGGTTGTACTTGTAGTCAACTAGTTTACTCAATGACAAACCGTGTTTTTCTACTTGTTTCTATAAACTCTCATGTAATACATATTTTTAGCTTTTCTACAGATATACACACTGCTCATCAGCCTTGCATGCAGCATCACTCCCAATGGAGCCTAATACAGCTTTTCCTCTCCTCCCAGCCAACCCATAACTTGCAACCTCTCCTGGTCCAGCAGCCCCAACACACCCCAATGTCCTGACTAAAACAAACCCTCCACCAGGCAGCAGTTACTTCCTACCAAACAGTTATAGTGCATGTCTCCAAAGCACCCCACTGCAAGAGCCTTCTCACAGGAGGAGGACAACAGGCCCTCATAAACAAAGCCAGGGCAGAGTCCCAGAACAAAGTCAGGGCTTCCTGCACGGCAGAGCAGGAGGAAAGGGCTGGACCATGTCTAGAGAATCATACCCTCTCTCAATCTAACCAGAGGTTTGTGGCCACCAGACACGGCAGGCACAAATGCTACACAAATGATAAATACTATCTGGAGAGAAGGGAGATGAGATGAACTCAACACACAGCAACAGAGCATTTCACCCCTGCCCACAGGGACCACATGCTCCTGCAAGCTACAGCTGATCACACTACAGTGTCTGCCTGGCCTGGTGATCCAGCCCTCTTGGCAGCTCACAGATGAGTTCCCACCTGAAAGGTTTGTTTCCACCTCCTCAGGAACACAATGCCTGCTGTTTTCAGGGGACACTCAGTACTGCATCCACATAAATGCCTCATGCAAAGGCCCTTCAAATTCCCACCCTTCACCCACAAGTTCTGCCATCACTCAAGTTCAGTTAGGAGCTCTACAAGCAGCAAACCATGCACTACAGGACAGAACCACATTAACAGTGCTGGGAGCTCTCAGAGCAGACCCCAGCAGCATCTGCAGCACAGTCATCGACCAGAAGAACACACCATGCTGAGGAAACAGAAAGGAGGTCCTGCCTTCTCAGGGGTGGGGGGCACCAGGGGAGGCTGAGCAGCCAGCAGGTTGGCACTGCGGCCGAGGGGAGGAGCTGAGGTCACCTGCAAAGTACAACAGTTCAAGATGCAGAGGTGTTTCCTTGCTCACTGCATTAGAGCTGCCTGACTCATAACACTGCACACAACTGCACTGCTCATATACATTTAGACTTCCCACCACCTTGGAGCTGCAGCCCTTCCCTGACAGGAGATGCAGAACACACTTCCTGATCATACCATCCCCTCTCCAGAAACTACTTGCACTGTGGACACCTGCCTAAACAGGCAAACACAGGAAGGGCTGCTGATTTGCTCCTTCCGATACCGAGGTGTTGCCATCTTTCACTCCCCCCACTCCAGCAGCTGCAGATTGTTGCAGCCTGTTTTTCAGAGCTACCTTCTTCATCTCAGAGAGAAACAGAATCTGTGCTGCACAGAGTGATAATGAGGACAGGAACCTCACACACCAGCAGGTTATTGCATGGACGTGTACTTTGCAGAGCTAGACAGGCCCAGGTGGGGTTAGATACTGCCAGCAAGTCCTCTCTCCTATCTAGCAGCTCAGTACCAGCCTTTACCTGAACATTGTACCTGAACAAGAGAGAAGCCTGCCTGCACTTGTGGGAAGCAAGCATCATCTTCAGTCTGACAGCCAATAGAAACAACTGTCTTGGTGCTAGGGGTCCATGTCTGGGGAGAATAGGAATGCCCAGGATCTTCAGAAGGAGGGGTGCCCACAGCAGAAAGCTCATGATAATCATCATTAGAAGTTTCCCACTGGAGGGGAGCCTGGGGAGCCAAGCTGAGGGAAGGGACTAGACTAGGAGCTGGGGTAGATGGCACATGGGAAGGCTGAGGTGGGAGGAGAGGTGCAGGGCCAGAGAGGTGAGAGGGAACAGCATTGGCTGGGACTGTCTTTGCAGTTTCTTTGGAAGGCTGGAACGGGGAAGAGGCTAGAACAGAGACCGTCCTCCTGGGGGGGAGGGGGGAATCTGGAGGAAAAGCCACCTAGAAAGACAGGGAGAAAGAAGAAACGTGAATAAATCCAAAGAGGAACCAACAAGCACTTCCTGCAACAGGAAGGCTGGTTGCTACCACTATGTTTATCTAAGGAAAAAAAGCAGCAAGAAAGAGAAGGGAACTACAAAACATGCTTCCCTGTGTTAGCTCAAGGGAGGGTACCATCTTAGACCTAGAACTTCCTGCACAGGTGCAGTACTGGGGAATATAAAGCACACCTCTAGGACAGGCATGGCTTTAAAAATAACCCCCTCATGGACATTTGATATGTGACAGTAGCAGACTGCCCAGATAGCATCACCAGCACTCTGTGATCTCACTCCAGTGGGAGTGGATCAGGAACATCAGGAACTAGGACCTGAGAGCTGGTTCCCTTTTCAAGCTGGACAAAGGTGAGTAGAAAGAGTTAGCTCTTAATTTAGTGTGGCTTAGGACACTCAAACTTTAACTGCACCTCCACTCAGTGCTATGTGGACAGAGAGACATGGTGGAATTCCCCAGCACGTCTCTGCTTTCTACCTTCTCTACTTGCTGTTCACCATTCTGCTCTTCCCCCTGGGGTCTGGCAGTGCTAATGACTCCCTCTGTCAGCCAGTCATCCTGGCTTTTCCATTCTTCCTCTTTCTGTTTAGTGATGCCCAGTTTGTCCTGCAGCTCTTCAACCAAGTGATCCTGGGACTCAGTCTTGTGAAATATGGCAGGACCTAGTTTATGCCTTGGAGAGACGTCACGATACATCGGATGCACATTTGCAGTCTCTTTTGTCCTCTTGATTAAAGATTTAATCTAAATGACAAAGGTAATAGTATCAGCAGAGAAGAGCAATGTCAGAGCAAGCCCGAAGCTGCAAACACCACAAACTCAAGCCATTAGTGACAACTGTGAGCAGGAAGAGTGATGACATTTATCCCACAAGGCCAAAATTCCTCTTGGCACAGCCAAGAACAGTGACTCAGTATAAGGAAAAACCCCGTAAGGATAATCACAGCAGCCAAAAATAACCATCTAGAAAAAGAAGGGAAAGATTAAGCAGCAGGAAGCCAAGATAGGAGGTGCAGCATGACCACTCCACTAAGCATAAAAGAAACCTCAGCGTCACAAGGGCAGGGAGCAGCCCTCTGTTTACAGGCACAAGACTCTTGCTCAGAGGTGCCCGGTGCACAACGTGCCTCCAGGGCTGGGGGGAACACCCCCACTCCAGCAGTGAGGCCTAAAAAGGCAAGCAGAGCAGAGAAGCTGCCATCCCAACTCAGGAACATCCTTCAGTGGTGGGAAACAGCCTTTTAGCTTTCCAGAGACCTCTACAGACTGAGCCTTACCCCAGTGAGGGAATAAATGTCCATTCCACGGGGAAGTCCTTACACACTGCCACACTCTGCTGCTGACTGACATGCAGAAGAGACCACAAGATGAAGCTGAGGATTTCAAACCCCTGTGACATGCAGCTCTCAGTGCCACATGCTGTTAGTGTGGGTGAGTTTAAGCACACTCCCACCACACACAGGTTAGCATGCTGTCAGAATGTCTTAGCTAGGACTCATCCTACTCCTACATTCACTCAGTGCCTGCCTGGCCTGATGCAGAAATCCTCTCAATGGGTGGTTTGGAGATGCATGGTAGATCCCATTCAGCTTTCCAAACGTTTTCTGGAGATTCTGTAGCAACTGCAGAGCTTCTGAACTGCTCATTTTCCTGGTGTCCTCCAGTTTTGTTCTTGTTAGCAGCACCTGCCTTCCTAGGAGTTCTTTCCCTGCCCTCCCTCTTCTTGGCCAGATCAGGACAGCCATCTACCTTGGTTTCATGTGGTACTTCAGC